AACTGTAAAACAATCAAGAAAAAAAAAGCCCCTCGCCAACGAGAAGGGTTCCTTCTTCAGCGCCCCGACTGTACAGGCACCACGCTGCCAACCAAGCAGCGCCAGCCAAGGAGCGAATGGGGGCCCCCTCTGGCCACGGCGGGCCTCAGCCACGCACAGGCCCCCCGAGGTGGGCCCGAGGGACCCCCCCCAAACAAAACAAGCACGGCCCCTTTTCCGAACCCGGAGCGGTCCTCCTTGCAGCATCTTGGCAAGAGGCCACGTTTAGGTGGGGCCTGTCCCCCATGCAGGCGGATTTTGGACGACAGCTACAACACACGCACGCACACACGCACGCACGCACGCACACACGCACGCACGCACGCACGCACGCACACACGCACGCCCGCCCGCCCGCCCGCCCACCCGCCCGCCCGCCCGCCCGCACGCACGCACGCACACACGCACACGCACACGCACACACACACACACACACGCACACACGCACACACGCACACGCACACACATACACACACACACACACACGCACACACACACACAAAAACAAACAAATAAGCAAACATGGTCCAACATGGTCAACACATCGTCCCCAGACTGCGTAAGTTTGGCCGTTTTTGACTATTCCCCCTGGGGAGGGACAGGCCCGACTGAAGACCACGTGTGCGCAGAGCCCGTGCCGACCCACCGGTCCAGCTCTCAGGGCCGAGCGCCACTTTCGGACACCAGCTTCGCACCGCTGTTCTGCCGACGGGCGCGTGCACGGGCGAGAACCATCGCCGCGAGGCCGATTTCCCCCAACCTTGCGGGGGGTCACAGCCTGCTCATCTGTCGTTGGCATCTGTCTCGGGTGCGGATGCCTCGCCGAAGGTAAATCCGTGGCTGACCTGGGGCAAACAGCTTGCAATAGTCCCAAACTTCGCTCACACCGTGTCCCATCCGAACGGGATGCAGAGAATGCAGCGCCCCTACCACAGGAAGCGCGGCTCAGGTAAGATACAGGAGCCGCTTGCGCCTGTGGCTCACCTTCTCCGTAGATGCTAACACAAGACATCAGAAATCCAAGGTGGCCCCCTTTGAACACTTCCGGCAGGAATCGTGTATTTGAATCCTTTTCTGTCTAGTTCGGCGCAGGCTGTGTGATAGATTCGCACTCGTCGGAGATGGAGGGGGTGACCTGTCTGCCAGATTGCGCGCTAGCTGGCAGCCAGTTGGAGCCAGCCGCAAGCCTTCCCCTGGAGGTCCCACGCCCTTGGTGATAGGGGACCGCCTCCTCCTCCTCTCTCCTCCCCTCCCCTCCTCCTCCTCCTCTCCGCCCGTCTCTCCCCTCCTCCTCTCCTCCTCCCTCCTCCTCCTTCCTCCTCCTCCTCCTCCTCCCTCCTCCTCCTCCTCCTCCCCCCCTTCCTGCTCCCTTCCTCCTCCTCTCCTCTCCTCCTCCTCCTCCTCCTCCTCCCCTCCTCCTCCCTCCTCCTCCTCTCTCCTCTCTCCTCCTCCTCCTCCTCCCTCCTCTCCTCCCTCCTCCTCCTCCCCTCCTCCTCCTCCTCCTCCCCTCCTCCTCCTCCTCCTCCTCCTCCTCCTCCTCTCCTGCTCCTCCTCCTCCTCCTCCTCCTCCTCCTCCTCATGCTCCCCCCCCTCCCTTCCCGCCTCTCCCCGCTCGGCCCCCTCTCTCTCCCATGCCTCACCTGCAACCCGTCGTCGGTCGCCCGTCGCTCGTCGGTCGTAGTCCGTCGGGCGTCGGGCGTCGGGTGTCGGGCGTCGGGCGTCGGTCGCTGGTCGCCAGTCGTCGTCGTCGTCGTCGTCGTCGTCGTCGTCGTCGTGGGGGGGGCGGTCCCTGGCCTTTCTGGGTTTAACGGTTTGTGCCCCCCCCCGCGAGGGGGGGGCTTCAGACGTTCTGGCCTCCGATCGCACGCGGGGTAGTTTACAGTTAACAGTCATCTGATCTTTCTGATGGGTGCGCGTGTCCGCGTCCTCCTCCAGATCCTCCCCCTGCTGCTCCTCCCCCGCCTGCTCTTGCCACTCCTCCTCCGCCTCACCTCCCTGCTGCTGCTGCTGCTGCTGCTGCTGCTGCTGCTGCTGCTGCTGCTGCTCTGCCGCCCCGTTCCTCGACCTCGGCCTCATTTCCCTGCTCCTGCTGGCCCCCCCCCCCCCACACCCCGGACACTGCGAGCGTCGGGGGCACCGAGCGCCTTCTCCCTGCATCCCGCACTGTTTTACCGCGCCGTCCCCAGCGCACGCCGCTCGCACTCGCCTGGAGGCCGAGGGCGCGCGGGAGGGTGGCTCGAGGGACTCCTCCCAGCCCTTTGGGGGGCCCACGCGAGCCCGACACCCGCTCCCACCAAGGGGGCCCTCGTCCACCGAGGTGGCCGTAGGGTTCCCAAGGGGGGAGACCCTCCACCTCCGTCCTCCATACCTTCCGACCTCTGCGGAAGGCGCGGAAGGTGATGCATTGACACTATTGAAAGCCTCGGGAGGCGCAGGAAAACTCAGCGTTCCATGGAGCGCAAGAGTGTGGAAGGTCAGCACGGAAAATCTGGAAGAATGAGGGCGAGGGGAGGCGGGGTCGGGAGAGGTCCCCCTCGGGCGCGGGGAGATTCGCGCCCGCCGTGCGGCCGCACCTCTGGGTGCGCAGAGTGGGTGCCGCCTCCCAGGCCACCCGCGGGGCTGCCGCCTCCTCGCCGGCACCTGCTCCTGCCGGGGGCGCCGCCGCGGCGGTCCCCGCTCCTGCTGCGCAATCTCGTCCAAGGGGGCTGTCCCTGCAGAGCGGCCGCCCGCGCCTCGGCGGTCGGCTCGCGGTGTTCTCGAGTGACCAGTGACCAGCTCCATCACGCAGGTCGCGCGCCCCTCGGGCCCGCGGCCCCCGCGCGGACCCCGAGATACAAATCGCAGTCCGTCTCCTTCGCGTCGCTGGGGTCGCCGGCCCCCTGGCCTTCAGTCGGTCGTGTCCCCCTACAGGGGGATTTTGGGCGAAAAAATAAGCATACTCCAAAAATGCTCAAAATGGCCAAAAAATAAAACTCAAAAATAGTCCCCTGCCAATGTTTTGACTATTTTCGAATACTCCCCCTGTAGAGGGACAGGTCCGACCTAGCCCTGGCCCCCTTCGCGCGGTGACCCTTCCAGGCTCGGCGCCGCCTTGGGCCGAGGGCCCCATCCTCCGCGCGCTCCGCGGGGAGCACCGCCAAAGTCCGCTGCCTCGGCTCGCGCCCGGGCGCTGCCTGAGCGCCCCCCCCAGGTTTGGAGGGGCCCAGGGACACACAAATAAATACACACACAAGGAGGAATCTCCATCGTTTCCCATATGTTCTGGGTTTTGGTCTTCCCCCCCACGTCCCATGGGTTCCCACATTTTCCAGGGCATCGACGCTGAATTGTGTCTGTGAGTGTGAGTGTGAGTGTGAGTGTGAGTGTGTGTGTGTGTGTGTGTCTGTGTGTCTGTGTGTCTGTGTGTCTGTGTGTCTGTGTGTCTGTGTGTCTGTGTGTCTGTGTGTCTGTGTGTCTGTGTGTCTGTGTGTCTGTGTGTCGGTGTGTCGGTGTGTCTGTGTGTCTGTGTGTCTGTGTGTCTGTGTGTCTGTGTGTCTCTGTGTGTCTCTGTGTGTCTCTGTGTGTCTCTGTGTGTCTCTGTGTGTCTCTGTGTGTCTCTGTGTGTGTGTGTGTTTTGTTCCCTTCTGGAGGCTGTCCGCAGCTCCGCGACCTTGAGGTTCACCTTCGGGCGGAGACCCCCGGGCCTCGCGAACGGCCTCCTGCCAGGGAGCGCATCGAGCAGCTCCCTCGACGCCGCGATCTTGCGCGGGCGGTCTGCTTTGTCCCCGCCGCCCCGGGGGGAGGGGGGGTCCTTCCCCCGCAGCCGTTTGCGTGCACTGGCCAGAGCCAACTGCCCGGCGCGACCCCGCAGCCGCCTGTCCTCGGGAACGCCTGCACCCGACGCGAGAAGGGGGGGGGGGGGCGCCGCGGGGGCCGGCCGCTCCGTCTCCGTTGCGCTCTCGCTCTCGTGGATGGCACCTCGTTCCACCGCCTCCCCGCGCCCTTCAGCGCCCCGCGCTGCCCTCGCCTCCGAAGGCCCGCGGGTCGGGCGGGGGCGCCGAAGCGACGGCCGATCTCGTCCGGCCTCAGGCCGCCCCGCGGCTTCGCCCTGCACGCCGGGGAGCCGACAGACCCCGGGGCGGGTCGACGTCGCGACACTGTGGGCGCACGTCTCGATGCCCCGTGGGCTCGAGCTCTTTGGACTCCACCGCCCCCGCTCGTCGGCGTTTTTGCGGGCTGCCCCGCGGGCCCGCCGCTGCGCCTCGGCGGGGGGATCGCCCGCGGTCTGGCTGCCTGCCTGACTCCCTCTTTCAGAGACGCCGCGTGCACGGGGGAAACGAGGGAAGGATAGCGGCATGGGTACCCTCTTAAGAAAAAGAAAACATTGCGTAAACATATGCTTCTGGCGCTCCGCGCGGACTTCTTGGATCTGCGCCGGACACCCCCCTCCCTGGCGCGCGGAGGGCGCCAGGCGCGGCGCTGGAGGCGCAGCCAGGGGGGCGCAGCGCGGATCCAAGAAGCCCGCGCGGAGCGCCGAAAGCGTATGCCTGTGCCGCTGCTGCTCCTTCGACCCTCCTCCTCCGACCATCCTCCGCGCCTCCTTCCCAACCGGCCTCGAACTCATCCCTGTCCCTGAGCTGGGCGAGCAGAGAGCGAGGACAGTCTTGGGGATAAGCCCTCAGAAACTGGGGCAACCCTTAAGATCGGCATCGAGGTGAGGTGATGCCAAACACAGGGACAGGGATGAGGAGGAGGGTGGAGGAAGAGGAGGAGGAAGGATGGTGGAGGAGGGGGAGGAGGAGGAGGAGGAGGAGGAGGAGGAGGAGGAGGAGGAGGCGGAGGAGCCAGGTAGGAGGAGGAGGAGTAGGAGGAAGAGGGACGAGGAGGAGGCGGAGGAGGAGGAGGAGGAGCGAGTGAGGAGGAGGACGGGGGCTAAGATTCAAACTGGCAGCTTCACCCCACCCACCCGGGCGCGCAGCAGCCTCGAACTCCCCCACCGTGTCCACCGTGGGCACCTCTCGGCCCGCCGCTCGCCGAGGGCGCGGGGCTCTCCTCCTCCTCCTCCCTCCTTCTCCTCCTCCTCCTCCTCTCCTCCTCCTCCTGCTCTGCCTCCTGCTCCTGCTCCTGCTCCTGCTCCTCCTCCTCCTCCTCCTCCTTCTCCTCCTCCTCCTCCTCCTCCTCTTCCTCCTCCTGCTCCTCCTCCTCCTCCTGCTCCTACTCCTCCTCCTGACCCTCCCCTGCAGGTCGGGCCTGTCCCTCTACAGGAGGGATGTTCAGAAATCCGCCGACCCTGTCGGCGCGTGTGCGGGGCCCGTCCGTCCAAGTCGCCATCTCCGTCGTTCGTTGGTCGTCGTCTCTGTCGCCCCCTTTCCCTGCATCCCCCCTTTCCCTGGGCTCGTCGAAGCTCCCCCCCTTTCCCAGGGATCTCCTCAACGCGCCAGCCGAAGCAAAGTTGAGCAACTCCGTAATTGAGTTGAAGGGAAGCCCCTTCCCTTCGATCCCTCCCCGCCGGGGGCGGGGGGGGGGTCCCGGGGGGGGGGGGGTCAGATACGACGCCCCCCCTGGGAGTCCCGGAGCCCCAAAAAGTCCCAAGACGGCCCAAGAGTGCCACAAGAGGCCACAGAGACAGTCCAAGAGAAACCCGAATCGCCGAACGATCTGTCCAAGACGTCTTGACGGCCTCCAGACGGCCCAAGGTGCCTGCAAAGCGCCCCAAGAGGCCTCAAGGAGCTTTCCCACGAGAGCCCCAAGAGGCAACATTCGTAGATTTCCCATACGTTTTTGGAAGATTTTGGCGTTCTTGCCTCTTCCGCTTCCCGACGCGCCAAGACGGCCCAAGAGGCCCCGAAGATCGCCCCGAGACGGCCCAAGAGGTCCCCAAGAGGGTTCCCCTATCGGCCGAAGAGGGCCCCAAGACAGCCCGAGACGCTTCCGAGACGGTCCAAGAGGCCCCCAAGACGGCTCCAGGAGAGTGCCCAGACGGGGGACCCGAACGGACATTTCGAGCTTTCAGCCCCAAGAGGCCCCCAAGAGGCCCCGAAGAAGCCCCAAGAGGCCCCAAGAGGCTCCCAAGGGGCCCCGAAACCGCCCCAAGACAGCCCAGGAGAGCCCCAAATTGCCCAGGAGGCCTCCAAGAGTGCCTCGAGACGGGACCACTGGACCGCCCAAGACTGCCTCAAGAGAGCCTCAGGCTGTCCCAAGAAAGCCTCTGGCCTCCTCCTCGTTCTCCTCGTCCTCCTCGTTCTCCTCGTCCTCCTCGTCCTCCTCGTCCTCCTCGTCCTCCTCGTCCTCCTCGTCCTCCTCGTCCTCCTCCTCCTCCTCCTCCTCCTCCTCCTCCTCCTCCTCCTCCTCTTCTTCCCCGCCTCCCTTCCTCCTCCTTCCTCCTCCTTCCCTTCCATCTCCCTCCTCCTCCTCCTCCCCTCCCTCCTCTCCTCCCTCCTAGCCCTCGCTCCCCCTCCTCCTGCTCTCCTCTGCCTCCTTATTCTCCTCTTGCTTGTCCTCCACATCCTTCTCCCCCCTCCTCCTCCCTCATCCACCTCCTCCACCTTTCCTCCCATTCATCTTCCTCCCCCTGCCGCCCCCCTCGTTTTCATCTTCGTCGTTCTGAGGGTCGGCGGCACCGGCCGTAAGGCCTTCGCAATAGTCAAAAAATAGTCAGGGGACGACTTTTGATGTTTTGTTTGTTGACTGTTCTGGGGTATTGTTCGACTATTTTTGAGCTGTCGCCCAATCTCCCCCTGCAGGGGGACACGCCCGACCTAACCCTACTCGCCCCTCCGGCCCCGCGCCTCCCCGGAAAGACGAAGCCAGGACGAGGACGTTGAGCGAGGACGCATCGAGAATCTCTGGGATCGGGCGGCGCTGGAGGATGTCTCGGAGAGCGCCCCGGAGCGCCCTGAGAGCGTTCTGGAACGCCCTGGAACTGGAACGGAGGAGGAGGAGGAGGAGGAGGAGGAGGAGGAGGGAGGAGGAGGAGGAGGAGGAGGAGGAGGACGAGGAGCGCTCTGAGAGCGATGCTCGCCCTTGCCCCGCCCGACCCGGGCCTCCCTCCTGGCCGTGCGCAGGGAGCGTGGGCCCTTCGTTGTCCTGCCTCTCCCCTGTCGCCTCGTCGTTCGCCCCCCCCCCCCCCCCCCCTCCGTGCTCGACGCCGGTCAGACGGCGCTCGACAATGAGATTGGCCGACGTTCGCAGACAGGCTGAATGCAGATGTGCATTTGTCACACTTTGTGTCCCATCTCGCTTCTTTCGCTCTCGCTCTCTTTCTCTTCTTATCTATCTTGCCCGTCGGCATTTCAGAGCTCAGCTGGTTTAGACCGCGGCGCTTAAGGCGTACCAGACACGTCGCACACATGTGGGCTGATTGAGCACAGCGCAGGGAAAGACGGAAAGGACCCCCCCTCCGTGCTCGTGCCCTCGCCGTCGCCCTCCGAGTCCTGTGGGCCTGCGGGGGGTTACGTACCCCGTGGCAGGCGCCGCTTCCGTGCCTTTCCGCGGCAGTCGTACCACAACCGCTGGGCGAAAAGACGGCGGCGACCACGGGGGGCAAGCGAGAAGGGGCGGGCCTTCTCAGAAGGCTCGGAAGCCCCCTGGCCTTCTGAGAAGTTCTCGATAAGCATTCCCCGAAGACGCAGAAAACCTGTCAGAAGGCAGGGTGCCTTCGGAGAACGCTCACCGCCCTCTCTGAAGGCCTTCCCCTTCTCCTGTGACCTTCCAGAGTGATTTTTTAAAAGCCCTATAGACCTATTCACTGCTCTTCACTGCTTGGCACCTCGACTGGATTTGGATGTCGAGGTCCTGGTCCTGGTGCTATGTTTTAGCCCTCGAGGAAGGTCTGGGTCACC